ATGTTCAATATTTATTGTAAAAATTCTCGAAAAACTGAATTTTGGTCTTCCACTGAAAAATTCATAGCTTCAAATATCCATGGATATTTATAAACAGCAGCTTATTTTTTTCCTTTAAGTATAATCTATACGTAAAATAAATCAAACTGGAATTATCCTTTCGATTTCTATCTTTCCCAAAAAGATATGTAAATTTTCGACCTCGATTTTTGTAAAAAAGGGTTTTTTTAACTTCATAAAATCGCCAGTATCGAACTACTGAGCCGATACCAAAACTATGAGAGAGAACGTTGTAGAGGGCTCAATTACCTTTGATTTAAGTGCTTGTTTGGTCATATCGATCAATTAGAACTCGAAGTATACTTATAGTATACTCTAAAACGCTTCCATGAAAAAAAATTTAGCGTTTAGTGAGCCAAACTACACAAGAAAATCATAGTGAGACATGGTGGGCAAAATGGCTGTAAACTAGTGTAATTTAAAGTTAAGTTGTTAAAAAAGAGTGAAATTTGGTACAAATACCTTTCATGCCAAACTTACTGTAAATAAAATAAAATTAAAATTTAAAACCGTAACTTTTTGCCATTTTGGACCAACATTATTAAATTATAGTTTTTTATGTAAAAAAGGGTTAGACCGTCTAACTTAGACGCACAGTTTTCTGGTAAAATGGATTTAAAGTTCGTCAATGACCTTGCACAGAAATTTTTTCAATTTGAACACCATATTATTAATATCTCCAAAATAAAGCGGTTGCGGACCTAAGTTTATATGAACTTTTTTTCTAAAATTATTTAAGGATTAAGTTCAATTAGTATTAGCCATCGATTAAAAAGCACTCTGTATATATTATAGGGTGCCTTAGATTTTAATCGGTCAAATTAAGTAGTCGATAGAACTCGCAAAAATAAGAAGAATAGTTTATATAAACTTGTAGGTATGTTTTAAAGCTTCGTTTTCGTGATACAGGGTAATAAATATTTAAAAATATAATTTGAGTTCCCTGCAGCTTTTTTATTTAAGTTTTATATTAAGGTTTAATATTATTTTTAGATTTAACAATTTTTTTGTCCCCTATATACAGGGCGTCTCAGTTTTTAATCGGAAAAAGTTAGCTGTTGATAGAACTCGCAAAAATAGGAGGACAAGTTTATTTGAACTTGTATAACATATAACATATATGTTGAAAAGCTTTGTTTTTGAGATAGAGGGTGGTAAAGTTATTATAAACCTTATGTCTTTTTGCATTTTTCTCTTCAATTTAAAAAAAAAAAATTTAATTCGTTTATTTGCTCGTTCCTGGAAAAATTATGGTAACGAGCGGATAAACAAATTCAATTTTTTTTTCTTGAAAATTAACAAGATAGAAAAAAATGCAAAAGACAAAACACTCGACAAAACATTTTTGGGTATTTGTAATTGCTTAATCTAAATATAATATCAAACTTAAACATAAACAAATAAACACAAAAAAGGAGTGACAGGACTAAAATTTGTTTTGTTAACTTTAAAACCCTGTATCTAGAAAACAAAGCTTTAAAGCATACAAGTTCGTACAAGTTATTATAAACTTTTCTTCTTATTTTTGCGAGTTCTATGGACTAATTGTTTGGGAATTTAAAACAAAAGTAAGTTTCATACACATTTATCTACATTTTCATCCAATTTGTGATTTTTTTGCCTACTAGATTTTGAGTTACCACCACCATCTTTTGTTTTTCTTATAGTCGCCATTTTGGAATTTCACATAAACAAAAAAGGAATAACGATGTTATAAAGATTTTTTTATTTAATAGGTTTTAAGTTTTTTCAAATATTTTGAGAACCGCTTGCTTTTTTCAATTTATAAATTTCATTGTAAAGGGCATGTAATTACGCAAGTTTTCTCTAATTCAACCGACCTTGTAACTTAAAAAAATACCGAGGATCATTTTAGCTATGGGTCCTAATTAAATCTTGTTATTCTTGGCAATAGCGCTACAATTCAAAAAAATTAAATGTGTTTTAATACAACCTACGCATTTTTTATATAGGAGAAAAAATCAAATAACAGTAAAACAATGGTAATTCCAATGGAAAAAACTAGTACCTATAGGAATAGAAAACACAAAAAAAAACTAAAAAGCTTTAAATAGAAGTCGGGAGAAAATCAAGAGCCTTCTACCCAAATTATGGTGTGGCTTTATGATTGGTAAAACATTTTATTTTTACAACCGGGTAGTAAGGCTCTGAAAAGGTAGGTACTTTCCGTGACTTGATGATAATGCACCTCCATTTACCAGCAGAGTTGCCAAAAATTGTTTGGAAATAGAAAGTTTGACTGTTTTAGAGTGGCCTTCTTGTTCACCGGATCTTAATCAAATTGAGAACTAGTGGAATAAGGTTAAAAGAAGGATTATAGCTCGTCAAAAAAAGCCCTGGCAATACAGAGAATTTAATAAAAGCAGTTTTAGAGGGGTAAGAAAATGTTTCCCAAGACGAAATTCATAACTTAATAGAAAGCATGCCTCGTTGAATTAATGCTTGCATTTATGCTAGAGGTGGCAATACTGATTATATAATTAACAAAAACCTATTATTTCTTCTTAAATTCTAATTTACCATAACGTTTATTCTCAGAGAAATTCACATTTTTGTTACCTATTTGTTCAATACAAAATTTGTTTTAATATTTTTTATATTTTTTTGTAATAAAATTGGTTAGGATAAGGTGCTTTTTATTATTAATTATTTTTTTTATGTAAAATACTGTTTCTCGTAATTATTGGGTGATTCCATATAATATTGGTTGTGTCACAACTTGTGTGTATATTACTCAAAAAATTAAAAAAAAACTGACCTATTGGGGTTGGGGTGGTGGTAGCTCCGAGGGTAGCTCAAAAACTAGATACCAATTTTCAAAATTATTAATGTAGCATGGCTACAAAATTACAATTTAATTCAAATATTTCAATTAAATTGTAATTTGGACGTTTAAAGATCCTAATTTAAAACCTACGTAAAATATTAACATTTTAATAAACAATTTAAATTTTAATAATTTATACCATATACGAGTATTGAAGGGACCAGTGCAAGAATGTATCTCCAAACAATGATATTTCATATGAGGTAAAACATAGCTCCTATAAACGCGTTTTGCTTACCTCCTGTGAAATTTCATTGGTTGGAAATACCTGGTTAATATTAAATTAATTCCTTTACATTTAAAATTACTTACGTCAAATAGTGGTATAAAACAAAAGCACTTTTGATAAAGTTTATTATGAGCTCATAAAATATCCAAACGTTATACCAACCAATTAAATGATAATTTTTCTATAAAATCCAAGTGGGTATTGTGATTAAAAGAAAATTTGTTGAAACCATCAAATTTCTAATAAAAAGTGTTGTTTAAGTATTACTGAAATTTAATAATGAAAGTTTAACAGATTGTGTAACTTTAGAATAATTACTTGGTGTTAATTGTATATGATCTATTTACCATACACGCAATGTTGATTATTATAGATGATAGTTTATAAAAAAAAAATTAATTGTAGGTAGGTATCTTAGTAATTTTAAACTCCCTTTCTTATATAATTGAGTTTATATTTTGCGGCTGTTTATCCAAAAAGTAAACATAGGAATTACTATATTTAAAGAATAGGTTTAAAAAATTACCTTAAATCGCCATAAATTTAGATTTCGCCATTTATACCGAAAATACAGCCATAATAAATAATTAAATAGGCATTGCAATGATAGTTACTTCTCTGAGTAGGTAGGTACCTACCTATACTTAATATTGAGACAAAATAATTTAAAAGCCATTATTTTCTAATTTCTGGGAATGTAAAAAAAATCCCTTGTTTAAAATTGTTTGAGAAATAGTACCTAAAGGTTCCTACCTACTTAATTTTCCCTTAGATCCTGTTAAATAATAATAATAATAATTAACAATACTTTTTTTAAATATAGGTAGGTACCTAAACCTAATTTTTCCTTAAATCGTGAAAGTAATGATTTATAATAAATTTTTCAATAGTAAAATACATATTTAAAGAATGGCTTGTATTGATTGTATTTGTATTGTATTATGACGTTGTGATATTTAATCTTAAAAAATTAAAAAAAATATTCCACAATATGTATGGACTAGCTTTATTCAATCGTAGGTAGGTAGTAAAAAATATTTACTAAAAATGACAAGAATCAATTAGAAAATTCATAGGTACTTTATGCGTGAATACAATTCACCAAAACAATCAAGATAGCTTTGAAATATAAAAATCTTATATAAATGTCAAAAACTTTGACTGTCAACAATTAGATCCTAGGTATACTTATTGAAGGAGTAAAAAAATTCATATAAAATTAAGTTAAATAAATAAATCCTCTTCTAGCAAGTATGCGTATTCTAATTAATTAAATATAAACTAATTATAACATAATTTGATTATGTGAGTGTTTTAGGCGTATGCCGCTGTATTTTTGTTAGTTTACTATGAAAATACCTAAATACATGGTCCGTCAACGGGTTAGGTAATGAGTAATCCAAAAGTTTATCCGTCGGTTCAAACACTAAGATAGGTACACAAAAAAACGATATCACCAAGTCCAAAACACAAAACTATCACAGTTAATCCACGGCAAGTCCATAATGGACAAACGATAGTTGTAAACAAGGTAGCAGCGATCACTTTGTCCAACTAAAAGCGCACCAAACATTCGTTGACCACTTGCAAAACACTTTTTACCTAACAATTCATAGAATGCAATTATTGTTTGACATGTTTAAAACAAGCAATTGTCCATAATTCTAATATTTTGAAATTCAAAATTCAAGTGTACCGAAGCCCGCCGACTCTGACAATCGTCGTGAGTTCGTAACAGCAAGCATGACAAGTATGTAAAGTATTATAGGAATTGTGGACACATTGCTTACATTCTAACGGATATTTAGCCTAAAACACCACATAAACTGTATGAAAACTCTACTTAAACTATCAAGTACTTACCAATATTAAAAACTGAAGCCTCTTCGGCAACTTTCACGGTAATTAGTACGGATTTTCGTCCGTAAATATGAGGAGTTAGTCTGATATTGGTATGCCAGGAATGGTATAAAGAATCTAGACAACGCAAACGCCAGTGCGCACCTTAGCCGCGCATAGTAAGCGTTCTAAAGCAAGTTTTCCTCCTTTACTCTCCTCTGCATATTCGTAAACACAAATAGAAATTCAACAACAAAACTGTTAGCGCCCTCTATCAATCACTAGCATAACATAATACGCTAACAGAAGAAATCTACGTTTGCTGTCATTTAGTTACGAAACCTTCATTTGTCACAATTATAATTTATAAATGTCAGTTTCAAAAACAAAACAGTTGTCATGTGTTTACCTTTTTAAAATTAAAATCACAGATAACCGAATGTAAGTTCAATGCAAGTAGTTGCTATTTTAGTAAATAAACATTTATATTTTGTTAGTTTACTATGGATTCGGAAATTGCCGGTCCATCAACCGTTACTTCAGAGCCATCAACCAGTGGTGCAGAAATGTTTAATTTGTCCCCTTCACAAACAGAAAGCCCTGAAGTTTTGCAAAAAAAGTTGTACTTTTTGTTAGAACAATTACAAAATATGGCAAGAGATTTGCCAGCAAAATACCAAATGAGACTGCCCTATGAACTTCTCACAAGCTTGGCAAATTGTCTTTTAAACGAAACAGTTTTTGAAATAGTGAAAGGTCTATTGGAAATTCAGAATGTTACTGAACAACACCTTTATCAACAGAGGCTTCAGTTTATCAATATGAAAAAGATGGAGGAACAAGAGATTTTAAAAACTTTTGAAAATGATTCAGATAGAAAAATCGAGGAGTTGCAAAAGTTTATCGTTAAGCAAAAGGAGGATTTAAAAAAATTTGACATGAATTTGGTTTTGGAACTGGATCAAAAAGTTTATGATCAACAACAAACACTTGAACAAGCTGGTATTCCTGGATTTTACATAACCAAGACACCTATTGAGATCAAATTACAAATGCATCTATTGGATTTTTTACTACGAATTAGTCGAATGACATTGCCTTCTTAGGATTATTAAATAAGACAATTGTTTGGATCTACATTTTATTTAAACAATGGGATATGTATACATTTCATTATGACTAGAATAGGTAAATTCACTACTGCAATTATTTCTGGAAGTCCATTACATAACTTTTATATCTAAGTAACTCATGCAAAAATGGATTTTAAAAACTAAGTACCTACATGCTAAGCAACATTTTGGTAAATTTAAATATTCACACAACCAATAGAATGATGATTCACATGTATTATTAATATTTTATTATTCACTTATGTCTAAAAACACAGCTAACATTATTTATACATAAGGGTGAAATAATTTAATGGCATGAGAAAAAATTGACTAGATTCCTGGTGGGGTTCATTTGTATATGACAAAGCTAGGCACTAGCCAAACAATAATTATTATGGTATATCATGGTATTTTTGGATTGAGCCTCATTACCAAAGTTCATCTGGTTGATGTACTTTAAACAAGACTATCTACATAAGTTATGTTATTGTACTTAATAATAAAAGTTAAATTATATCTACATGGATTTTTATAAAAATATTCATATGGAAGCATTTTAAAGCCCTTAACTTAAGGAAATTGGTGCAAAAACCAGGGCATTTATTATTCACTTTTGTGGTTATTGCACTAAATTCTTATAAAATCTAATAAATCATGCATAATAACAATATTACCAAACAAACATAGTTGTTGTTAATAACTTTTTATCCTAAATGTATAGAAGAAATTTTATCATTAAAATTTAATTAATCCTTTAATACCTATAAGGGATTAAATCGTTTTTTAAATAGTTTTACACTAGAAAATGTATGCTTAAGCAATTACAAATTAATTACATCTAGGTATTTTATTACAATTACATGAAAGAAGGTCACGTCGACATTAATTAACAGTTAACGTCCATGTTATGGTCCTATCACAATTTGTTTATTGTTATTTAAAGAAGAGCTCTGATTTTTTTTGTATAATAATGTGTTTTTACGAAAAGTAAAATAAATAAAAAAAGTATTTTAGGATTACAGTGGAACTTCTCATATTTCCATGGCAGAGAAAGTCAAATTTAAGTTAAAAGAAACTTATGAAAAAACATTAATATGGGAATTAAAATAACTAAACAATGCATGTTTAATTTATATCAAATACGCTGGCATATCCAGAAAATTGTACACTAATCCCTTGTGAAAATTTTCCACTGAAAAAGTTTTAATAAGTAAAAATAATAGTTTTGAAAGTCTTACTTTCTCTTAAAAACTCTGAATAAGATTTATTAAGTCGGAATAAGACTTATTAAGTCGGAAAAAGTCTGAATAAGTCTTAGTACCCAAGTCAGAATAATACACTGCCCGTCAAAATTAACGCATAATAATAATAATAACGCAAATAACGCATTGATTATTTTGCTGAAAAGTGGTCATTTTTGACGACTTTGAAGCGCTGTATTTTTGTTGCTGTTCGTTTGATTTGTACAAAATAACAAAAATACGGTCTTTCACAGCATATTTTTTATTTACTTAAGAAAAAATTCCCTATAAAAGTTTTTTTTCGAGCGTTTTTTATTATTAAATTAAAGGGCTTTAAGTATATTTTTTCGAAAAACCCTTGAGCACGTAAACTGAAATATAAGTTAAAGTATTTTTATACAAAATTTCATAAAGATTGGTAAAGGCGTTTTAGAGTTAGTTTTTTTTTTACTTATTATGCGTTAAGTTTGACGGGCAGTGTATCAAGATTTGGGGGTCTTCTGGAAGAGTTAATAAGACTTTTAGTAGAGAAATGGTACCTATAGCAATAAAAATAGTTTATTGCATAATTACCGATGTAACTTACTAATGTAAGGTGAGTCATTCTATCATTTTTCACCAAATTTGACAAAAATTGAAAGCTGACCTTATTAGATTTTCTTAAAACTTTCAGGGTGTAAAGATGAACAAAAACCACAATAGTATTTTTTTATTTAAACAGAGAAAGAACAGAGAAAGTAGGCAGGGCCGTGTTGACTGGTTTGCATAAAAAATTACCAAATTGGTGTCTAAGAAAACCATTTATAACTTAGTTATTTATTATCGCGTAATATTTTGAGCATTATTAAAAATGAGTTATTTTACAAATAATTTTACTAACCCAAGAAAAACTTTTTAGCGCTTGGTTTCTTTTCGATAAGCGTTATAAAATTATAAATGAGTCATGTACAATCAAAAGCTGAGATGTCCACTGAATGCTAAGCATGAATGTGGTAGGTAACCACAATATAAATAAGTAATACAGTAGTTACCATGTCCACTTCCGTGCCAAACAAAAGGGTGGTAACTTACCACTATGCTTTTAATTCTTCAGGACTCAAATATAATATATTATTTTCGTTATTATAAAAAAAACCATTCAAAAACTATAATATAATCAGCCCATATAATATAACCCAGGGTTATTTTTAACTTAAAAGTTACAGAATAGACCCCACAGAGCGTAGTTTTAAATTAAGAAAGTGGCTCAGTCTTAAACTGTGGAGAAAATTGATTTTTTTTACTGTTAACGTAAATAATAAAACCTAAATATAAATTATCTAAACCGTATTGGTCTATGAAATCCTATTTTCTTGGTTTATTTAGGTTAATGTTAATTGGTTACAAAACAAACAAACCAAAATATTAAAAAAACTTATTATAGTATATTATTCATCGATAGAATGATTGATTGAAAGTTAGCCATTTCTATTAGAATAAAATATATACGCGGTCAACATTAAGCGAAGAACTTTTTAAAAATAATTTTGGGCAAGTCGTATATCCATAATTGAAAATTCAAAAGTTTTGAGTTATGGCGGGTTTTAAATCCTATTTTTAAGAACGTTATTACACATACTTATACTTATACCTATAGGTACATTTATATTCCACTAAAATATCTGTATTGTCCAAGTGCGCACTCACCATAGAAAATATATGGTTATTTAAACTCTAAACTAAAATCGGTGTTGTACGGGAAGCATCGTTGCTTAAAAGCGAGGGGTAAACCACTTTAAAATCTTAGAGACAACCGTTCAATGTTAGTGGACGTTGTGTTGAGATTTTTTTCCTTATCAGTCGTTATCAATAAGGAAAACTTGCTTAATCGGTGCTTAATCAGCTGATAGTGCTTAGCGACGCGTTGTACATGACTACCCTTGTTATTTTATCCTTAGCCGTTAATTCGTAAGCGAGTGGTTTACCCCTCGCTTAAAAGTAAGTAGTATTGAGCATTAATAATTTATTTAGATGGGCCAAAGACGTAGCTGACGTGCTGAATTATCATGTTAAGATTATATAAAAATGAAGATCCAAACTATAAAAGTGAGCTAGTTTACCACTGTAAAAAGTAAAAGAAAACCAGAGCTTTGGAAGAGAAACATAAAAAAGGCGCAGAAAAATATAGTAAACGCTTATATTAATAGCAGTGGCAAAAAATACCACCTAAATCATTGGGACCAACAATTTTGAGCAAACTGTCGACTAAAATGTGGAGACAAAATATCAGAGGACGAAAGAAAGCTTATTTTGAAACAGTTCTTGGTTTTAAAGGATGTAAATATTCAAAGAAAATTTATCCCAAGGTGCACTGAGGTAGTGTCACCAAAATATCAATACAAAAAATGGGATCCTAGAGGTCGATCACTAAATAAGGCTACTACTTAAAGGCAAGTGAAAAGCGTCGCATTTCTTACGAAATGTCTTTAAAGGACAAGAGGAGGACAAAAGGACAAGAGAGGACTACATGGTCATCAGAAAGCCACAGAACCACAAATTTTATAAGGTATAAGAAATCATATTAATTATATACCTTGTAATGAATCTCACTGAGTTTGCAAAAGGGGGTTATTATCGTCCTTACTTTCTTCAAAAAATTCCTTTAACCATGTCAATGTTTTTTTAAGTTACAGTGATTTTGAACCCAGTCTGGGTGTGTGAAGTGTGTCAAGTAAATATTACACGATCACTACTAAGCGAAGACCTTTTAAAAATACAATTTTACAGGTTTTAACACAATTTCGACTAGGCCGAACGACGGCAGCCGACGGCATGTATCGGAGACTTTATTGCTGTTTCGTATTACACTTGTTCAACTGTATTTTTAAAAGTTCTTCGCATAGTATTGATCGTGTATAATCTGGTCCACTTGTATAATCCACGTGTATAATCTGGTCCACTTATCAAACAGTATTTTTAAAAGTTCTTCACTTACTGTTTACCGCATCTTATCTTGTCCACTTGCCAATGTATTTTCCTTATGTATACCCGGTAGATAAAGGTACGGTATAATCAACTTTTCGAAAATCGCTGACGTCGAGCAGATAGGTGGCAAGTTTGGCGCATTTTGCCGCATATCACAGGATAAAAAATGTTCTAATGACGTAGTACGCTATTTTCGTGACAACCTGCAAATTTAATTCATCACAAACAGGGTGTTTCTTAATTGCATGCTGATATTAAATGGACTGACCCAGTAAGCACAAGTTAGTCAGCCCGCATACGGACAGAATACGTTTGGCCTAGTGGTGGGCTAAACCGCTATTTTTAAGTAGCAGTTAAAACAGTTACCGCTTTTTTTAAGTAGCAGCTATCAAATAGCTGCTTAAAAGAAGCAGTTTATCCGAAACGGTGCTCGTGGGAATGGACCACAGCCGCTGACAGCGGCACGCGTGTTTCTTGCGCATGTTTCATTTTAAAACGGCTATTTGGGTTTGCTATAGCGCTATAGTAGCGAATCGCTTCTGCTTGGCTTACAAACGTCTAGGGAGAGTTCACAGAGAATCTTTACTAGCAAATAATCGCGATCTTTTGCAATGATTGGAAATTATAATGTTGTTAATAATGATTTTCTATGCTAGGATTAGGTTTAAAAAATTAAAAATAGCTTAGATATGAATAAATTTTAGTATTAAAAATCCGAGTTTAAAAATTATTTTTTTTTTACTCGGCTGCAAATTAAAACTCATTTTTATTTAAAGTGTATAAAATATTATTAATGCTGTAACTTTACCTCCGTTAGTAAAATGATTTTACTAAAATCCCGACATCACACAGCAGTGGCGCTGTCCAAGGTCGAGTTAGCAGCTTTTTGATATAGCGGAATTCGAAACAGCGATTTTTCAAGAGCTGCGATGCAATGCGACTGCTCCGGCCGGAACACTGTGACAAAAAGCAGCGATTTTTCGAAGCAATGCGATTTGCGATGCTCCAGAGCAGTTTTGTTTGAGCAGTGCCACGGTAAAAGCAAAACACTGGCGAAAGTGCGAACGGCGAAGCAACTAGAGATAAGCGATATTTCACGAACTGTGATTTTTTCACTGATATTTAAAAATCACGAATAACGACTGCTACTTACATCTATTAATTAGCGTGATCTGTGATTTTTCACTTAGCGATATTTTACGAATTGTGTATTTTCACTGATATTAAAAAAAATATTAAACCGTGAGTTGCTATTTATCAAAATAATTTTTTTCACTGATATTAAAAAGCATTAAATAACGATAAAACCGTAAATTGCTATTTATCACAATAATTTAACATAGATTTTCGGCCGCAGGCAAAAATAGAAAGAAAAAATTTGAAATAGTTTTTTTAAACGCCCGTTTAAATAAGATTTTAAATGCCCGTAAGTATTAGGACAGCATAAAGTCGAATAGGTCTGACTGCTTTTCCGTGGTACCGTACCAACTGTTTAAACCTAAAAACTATAAACATTTAAAAGCAAACCTAAGTTTAAAAAGTTTTTTGTACGAGTTATCTACCAATAAGTTCAATCACATATTGATAAATACATGTGGAACAATTCCCCACACGGTCGCTGCTGAAGGGAGCAACAGCGACGGCCTGGTATAATTAAAATTTCGGAGCAATTTAAATTTTAAATTGCTCCGAAATGTCTCTGCGATTTTTACTGCCGCGGAGCAGTTTGCGATTGCGACGCCACCGGAGCAGTGACAAAGTAGCAGTTTGCGAAATCGCAACACACCTCTAGTGCGCAGACAATACGTTAAATGCGATCACAAACGGCGGAGTTAGGTTATGTTGTTGGTAGCAGCTTTTTTTAAAACCGGGTAACAGTGATAGCTGCTTCAGCAAAATAACTGTTAAAAAATAGCAGCTTACGCGATAGCAACCCACCTCTAGTTTGGCCGCTTCCGGCCCGGAACACGTATGAGATTCGGCAAGTAGACCGGGCATGTCCGCTTGGCCGTATGTCGGCTATGTTTACTTGGCCAAGTGCTGGTTACGACCGCCTGGAAATCCAAAAAAAGCCCACAGACGTCCTGGATATATCCTATAGGTTCAGTCCTGAAATTTTTTGAACTACATATTTTTTAACACACTCGATTAGCTAGCCATTGTTCGTTACTGAGCAGATCCCCACTCTAAACTATCTATGTTCAGCTGTGCCATTAATAATTACATACCCATATTGCAACCCATCGATATTTATAGTTATTCCGGCCGATTTAGGTTAGTTAGGGCCAGCCAAACTTCTTATGGCACGGCATGCCGTATTATAACCGACTTCGGTTAGAAAATTGCCAAACGGTATCGGGGTAAGATAACGCGGGCCGGCTGGGGGCAAGCCGAACTGACGGTTAACTGCTTGTGCCGAATAGTGGCCACCTGTTTGTCGAGTGTTTGGTGCTTACTGGGAAATCTTTGAATTTTAAGAAAAAAACTTAAATCTGCAATCCCTTTATTTTGGATATAGGGTATCAAAAAAAAAGTAAGTGATTTTTAAAGGCTTCTTTTTAAACCAACTTTACACGATTAAATGATTTCGTCAAGATCAAAACAAATGATGGTTTGATGGTGCAAGGTTTGTGCTATATACAATGTATATTATACATAGATGCATTAAATTATTACGAACGCTGCGAAACGTAGTTTGGGCAAGCAGTAAGTGCGAAAATTTACTTTGCGCATGTGTTAGGAACAATATTTTTTACACAAGCAAGAAAATCTCGCAATTTTCTTTATCAGTTTCCATTTTTAACTTAACATTTGTTCTACAAGCGTGCGAAAAGTTGCTACTTATATTTTTGTATTGCATTATGTTGTTAATTTTTTTTTTTTAAGGGATCCGGCCAACTTTTGCCAGGGGTTAAATTAAGGACCCCATGCAACTTTTTTCAAATTTAGTCAAAAAATATCCACTTGTTTTCTTGGTGATCTATTTTCGATAAAGGATATTTTTTTCAATTTTAAACACTCCATATCCCCAAAATAAAGCGGTTTTTCCTCATCCATAAAGTACGTTACACCTTTTTGGGGAATATAAGACGGGTTTCCCGCCCCTTGACCCCCTCCCCCTAAACATGTGACGTACGTACGTCATACATGATAATGGGTCGTTCATAAAGTACTTCATGGAAGACCCCTTATTATCCAATTAAGAAACACCATGTATATTTTTTTAATGTTAATAAAGCCTTTTTATTTGTATTATTATGTCATGCCTTTTTATTTATGGGCAGATATTTATTGATTTTTATGCGGTTTTGTTTTTTGTCACAATATTTTATGCATACAGTATCTCGGCAAAAACCCTTTCATATGTGGAAAAATATTTCTTTTCTAAACCCAAAACGGGACAAAGTAAAGTGTATACCTAAATAAAAATTGTATTAAAAGGTTTTTTTAAAACATACATTTTGGAATGATATATTATTATTGGTAATAATACTTTTCCAGGTCCAGGTGTCAGGTTTATATCTTTTACATTTGTCCCGTTTATATCCTGCTTAAAAATCATTTAATTAAAAGAGTATAATTATAAATAAGATGTATAAAAATTGAGCGAAATAATTAGGTAGATCTACCTACAATGTCTAACATTAAACCTGAGTATCAATAAAAAACCTTTTCCGACGACCACACTAAAAACTACGACTTTTCTTAGTAGGCACAATTATTAAAACATGCGTCATTTCATTTCACAATAGTTAATTCATTCAATTGGAAAACTACTGTCATTTTTATTAATTTTTTAAAATTGAATTACATTTTTCAAAATTGAATTACATTATAAAAATTCAGTCAGTGTTTTTATTGTTATAAAGTTTGATATCTGTGTGAAACTTAAAAAGTTTCATATCAATAATTATAGCTTTGTTGTATAAATGTGGTTGTGGTCGTCGAAAAAAATGCGTTCTCAACTCGCTAAAAATGGATTTCGGCGCTTAAAGAATTATTCCTATTCGCCCAAAATCCCACAGTTTACCACCTCATTGAGAATATAATACCTATATAATAGCATTGATTAATGACTCCTTCACTCAATGATAATAGTATATTATAATACTATAGCAGTTTAAAGTGTAAATGTAGATTTGTAAACTTGTACTTTACTTTGATATATTAACAGAGATTATTTTCTACTTAAAGAAATTTACCGCACTAGTTGGGTAAAGACACAGCTAAAATAATTATTAATAATGGTACTATATCAAAGCAAATATTAGCTGCTAAAATTAACAATCTCATGGTATATTGCTCAAATAATTATTTTTTACGTTTAATTCATGTACAGTTTTAAATGACTAGTTATTTAGTTAAAAGATTTTATTTCTTAATCTATTTTTATAGAGCCTGATATTCCTCTAGCTACTACAAGATGTTCTGTTGGAAAATCCAGAATTATGGAAATGTGAAATGCCATATTTGCTATGGCAATTATATATTCACACAAAGCAAACATACTAAAAGCTGAAAAAATATTTTTTATTTAAAAAAATATGTATTTAGAACGGTTTATGTTAAAAAAATTAAATGTACCTAAATTATTTAACTTACCCATTCGATGACAAAAAAACCTATGTTCCATGAAAAATCCAACCAAACCAGCTGCACTTACAAGGGATACAATAAGTAATTTTGTTTTGAACTTAATACCCTTTTGAACTGATTTATAATTATTTCTGGTCATGGCCACTTTTGATGTTGCTACTATACATGCAATCATGTGACTCAAACTGCTTAGCATAAAGGTAATAAAAAGTTTTTCATGGACAGCTAAAATTTTATAATTTGTTAATGCTAATAAAGATAAAGTAAAATATTATCTTACGATAGTTTTCTCTATTGGAAATATATGTAACTCCACAAAAGGAACTGGATTCAATTATTTCTAGCCAAAATGATATATTTAACCACCTTTGAGCAGAATTTTTTGCCTGGAACAATTTATAGTTATAACTATATATATATATATATATATATATATATATATATATATATATACTTATAAGTAGAAATTCTATAGGTAAGAGTCAGTGTTGCCAGAGGTGGTACATTTGTACCTTTTTGGTACGTTTGGTGCTTTGGTGGTACAGAGGTACTACAAGGACTATTTTGGTACATTTTCATGAAATTTTTGAATTTTGATATATTTTCAATATTTTGCATATTTTCAATAAAGTTGTTGCTTTGTTTCTGTTACTTCGCGGTCACTTCCTAGTATTCCCCTTCCTGTCTTACAATAGCGTTATTAAAATCGCCTATATTTATTCGTTTTATTTTCATATAAAGGTGGGAGAGACTTAGCGAACCCTATTTATCAATAGTGGATTTTAGTATCTCCCACCTTTAATGTTAAGATTCCCGTTCCCGATATAGGGCTATTGTGCAGCGGGCTTTAATTTTGGGGAAGAAACGAAAAGCCCAAAAACGTATTTGTTTATAGCATTTAAATGAGAGGTACATTTCAGTGAAATTTGGTACATTTTAAAAGTCGAATTTGGTACTTTATCTTTCCAACCTCTGGCAACACTGGTAAGAGTAAATGTACAAACTGTGTTTTTTAAAATCCATTTTATTAAAGCTTAATTAGAAATAGAAAAGTTGATTCTTTAAGATTATGTTTATTATTTAGTTTATGTTTCTCAACAATCATAAAGCTTCTAGATAGTGTTCTGTTCTGTCCAAAATAGACCTGTTTAGCATATTTTTATTCTCAATTTTTTTAAATAAAAAAATATTCTCATTTTTATAAAAAAAAAATAAAGACATTTACCCTTAAAGTAGTTAAAATTCTTAAAACAGGGTTACCTGATAAGGTGCAGTAGGATTAATTAAATTTAGCTGATATGCTCTATAAACTGCTGCTATTATAAATCTTGGTCCAATATGAAAAGCAACACTTATTCTCCATAGATAAATTTGAGGGCTTATACCAGTGATGGCACTTATTGAGGGGATAATATTATAAACCTTAAAAACATAAATATAACACATGAACTAACAATTTATTTGTTTACTTACACGGCAGTGTGTTTCATGAATATCATTTGGCTGAAAAATATATCCTGTAATTAAACAAACTAATAGGCTTACTAATGGAAATGCCAACGAAAGAAGACACAGATTTTTAAAGCTAAGTTTGTAATGTACTATTAGCGGATCATTGGTTTTATTACTTTTTGTGTTTATTTCCATTTCGCAATTTTTAGGCACCATCAATACCTTTTTATATATTGCTTTATTTATAGGAAAATACTAGTATACAAAGTCCATCTAATAAAAATGTTGATGTGGTTAAATACAGACTGTATTATACAGTCCCTGTCAGCAAATAATGAACATTATATTTTTATTCGCACTAAAATTTTAGGTTGGAATCACAAAAACTCAAAAGTGACGTTTGACATTTAAGTCAGGAATACCAACATCACAGAACATCCTAGACTAACATGCATAGAAAAAGGATATGTATGCACACTTCTTTATCTCTGCATGTATGCACATATATTCTATATTCTCTATTAAATGTGCATGTATGACATACATTGTATGTCTAATTATTTGATTATTATTTAGTCTTCTTGGGTTATATTAGAGTCTAATATAACCCAAGAAGACTAAATAAAGAAGGAATACGAAGGCGTAGAAGGGCCAACAATATTTTTTTTTAATACAATTTTTAATCGACAATTGTCGATCGGTTCGACAATTGTCGATCGGATCGACAATTGTCGATCCGATCGACAATTGTATATATACAGGGTGTTTCACATTCGTGGTCCATTAGAACTTCTAATTTAGAAGTTTCTGGGAAACGAAAAAAGATATCGATTTGAAATTTTAAAAGCGTTTATAATCCATTTAAGTCTATTTTGAAAAAATGCCACTTCCGGTTTAACCGGAAGTGAGATCAACTTTGTTGTTTTAAAAGAAACACCCATATATTTTTACATTTTTAAATTCAACATCAAATTCTGAGTAAAATGAATATACCACCCAAGCAGCATTTTTGGTTCCAAAAACCATTGCCAAAGTGGTGATAACTTTAAATTAGTTAAGTATACTAAACAGCTACTTTAATTTTTACTTAAAAGTAATTCTAACTTTTAAATAGCAATATTTTGTAACAGAAACTTAATTTTTCCTTAAATTGTTACTATAAAGTAATAAACATTTAAGTAAAACTTGGTTGCTCCCAAGAAGACTTTGCAACTTTAAAAAAGGTGTTATAAGTAAAAAAAACTTTCAAGTAAATTTAATTTGTAGCAGTTACTTTCGGTTGCTACCTAAAGATTACATTATAATTATTTTTACTTTGTAGTCCCTTTGCAAGTTAAAATCTCGAAACTGGAACATGAGTTAAAAACTACAAAGTTAATAACTTAAAAGTTATTATTTTAGTATTTGGAACGTTTATGGTACTAACCAAAACAACCGTAAAGTGGAAAAAAACTTTAAAGTAGCGAAAACTACTTCAAAGGAAAATGCTTCTTATCGGCCATTTTTTACTGTAGATAACATTCGTGAGTTCACCGTGAATGCACGGTGAAAAATATTGCTTCACGCGTGAATTCACGGTTGCTAAAAGATGCGTCCGCCCCTGGAATTCACCGTGAATGCACACGTGAAGATATATCCGCCCATTGAATTCACCGTGAATGCACACGTGAAGATGCGTCCGCCCCTTAAATGCACACCTGAATTCACCGTGAATGCACACGTGAAGATGCGTCCGTCCCTTAAATTCACCGCGTAAATGCATGCGTGTTCTAAATTCGCGCGAAAAAAATGAAATAAGGGTGCATGTTCAGAAAGAGTAGAGTAAAATAAGTTTTCTGAACAAAAAATGTGCATTCACCATAATTTCAATTTTTTCGCGCGAATTTTAGCATGCATGCGCACTCACTTCGAGCTTCACTTGTGCATTTACGGTGAATTCAAGGGGAGGACGCATCTTCGCGTGCGTATTTACGGTGAATTTCGTGCGTATATTCAATTTTTTTGCACTTAATTTTAAATTGGAACACAAAATAAAACGTGTTATTTTTTAAAATAACAGATTTTGTTATAACATATATATATTTGTAAATAAAGTCAAATGAAAAATGTTAAATAAAGATGTGATTTATGTCCAATTGGAGAATATTTTTTTAGACAATTATGCCATCCACGCCGACGGTGGTCTAGTGGTTAGTGCTGCTGACTACAAGCCGGAGGTCGTGGGTTCGAATCCCACCAGGGGTATGGCTGTTTATTTGTGTTTGTCCTATTATGTATTAGTCCTTCGAAGGGGACTTTAAACCTGCGGTCCGTTCCTACCCCTAACCGGCACAAGCCATTCAGTTGGCTTATGGGAATTCTTAAGAAGTAAGGGTGGAACTAAAAGAGCACTTTTGTATAAACTTTGTATAATTAAACTTGAGGTACAATAGTATACTGAAATAAAACACAAAGTGTTATGTTGTAAAGTTTATTCCGAATCAACCTCAGAGGTTTTAATGTCCTCTTTAACCTTCAACCTTGTTTTTGCAATAATTGTAACAATTATTATCAGTGCACTGATCTACTATAGTATATATACAATAAAATTCGTATCTTAAATTTGATCATGCTAAAATATAAAAATGTCAAACTTACCTTTGGAATTCCTGGCTAGCAACTTAAGTATTTATTGAACTGAATACCTATTTATTATAAAACTGAACCAAGATACACCTTGAAACTGAACGTTTATCTCTGAACCATAGAAAAAGGATATGAACTGAACGTTTTACCGGTATACAGGATATCTAGCTAGATGTTTACCATATATGGTATTCTATAGAAAACCTCGTGGCTCTTAGCTGCGTACGCACACTAACGCTGCAGTGTTGCCGGATTGCAGCCGGATGATTTTCGTGAAAGTTCCCGCCATTTGCTCAATTTGGAAAAGTGAATTAAATTTTGAATAAATTAAGAGAAAAATAAAAGGATAGAATTAAAGAATTTTGTTTAGTTAGTAGTTATACAATATTATTTACTGAAAATTTCTTTGAAAAGTAAAATTTATAAAAGACCTGCTTCAATATTTTACTTGCAAGCATGATGAAATACGCGATTTTCGGGTCAAATACCTGCAAGCGGCAACCCTGCATTTAGTTGAAATGTGACGGCCATAGGCGCATGCGCACGAGTGCCCGCGCAGTGCCGGCGTGAGGCATGTGCAAACGGTGCGGTTGCACCCGGCCCCGCGTTTTATAGGCCCCGCGCGCATCAAGGCGTCTTAACGAAATTATTGTACATTTTAGCAACAGCAAGCTGTAAGCAAAGCGTGACAAAATAATATCTGGTCATTGCCAGAGATAATATCTTTAGTAGGTATCGTCATCTATTATCATTCAGTCCAATGTTGCTAAATGTGTATTTGAAGTTGCCTGTATCCGTTTAAAAAAATTATTATTACGCCGGGAAAAGAGTTTTTCAAAATTAAAATTAATAAAAAAATATTTAAATCAAGAAGATATGTGCCAAGAACGACTAGTGGGTTTGGCTATATTGTCAATAGAGAAGGATGTTGGAAAAGAGCTAAAGCAGGGAAAAATTATGTGTGTTTTTTTCTTAAACGTTAATTTCTATATTAATTGATGGGAAAAGCTGAACCACCCAAGTGCATTTTTAAGTCAAAATTTTCTACTATCCGGTAACAGGCTTAAAAAATTTTGACTTAAAAATGCACTTGGGCGGTTTCAGCTCTAACCCCTTCAATTGGTTTTTCGTTTGATGTTTTAGTGGTTTATTGCCGCTAAGCGCTACATATGTTAATTTTCAAGAGTAAATTTTTAGTTCAAGCCCCGCATTTTTTTTTGCACCTTGCCTCTAATAAGCTTACGCCGGCCCTGTGCCCGCGTATTTGGTTTTGCAATTATTATATATAATTATTATTACCTATGAGTATATTAAATATTAATGACTAATATTAAATAAAAAATGGACTTTTTTATTTTCCGTTTAATATTTAATAAAAATCTTTAATTAATTTTCCTTTAATGTTATGTTTTCTTTTTCTTATTTCGAATTCGGTCTTCAAATTTATTTTGATAGGGTAGGTATACCTTCCCTATCAAACAGAGGTATAGCTAACATATCAAAATAAATTTGAAGATCTTTAATTAAACGTGCTAACAGATCTAGATCTGTATAAAATCTTGGAGATTCACGGCGTGCGTCCGGTGTGAATTAAATGTGCATAAGAAATGTTAGGGGGCATCCATTAATTACGTGAGGTGTTTAGGGGGGAGGGGGTCGAGCCAAACCCCACCCAATCTCACGTGGGGGGAAGGTGGTCTCGGCAAATATCACGTAATTTTTGAAAAAAATGAAACAGTGTAAAATGGCGAGAAAACTGGGTTAAATTAAGTAAACAATTATAACAATTGTTTTTTTTTAATAAATCTAATACAATCAATCACAGATTAACTTATTTACATTAAAACAATGCATTTTCCCAAGGGGAGGGGGGGAGTCGAAAAATCGCCAAAATTGCCTCACGTAATTAATGAATGACCCCTTATCTGTGAACTTACGGTGAATTCACGATGCACTTAATTTTAAAGATTCATGGCGTGCGCCCGGTGTGAATTTAATGTGCATTACGAATGTAATTTGGAAACTCACAGTGGATTCACGATTAATTAATTTTTAAAGATTCACGGCGTGCGCCCTATGTGAATTAAATGTGCATTACAAATGTTATCTGTGAACTCACGGTGAATTCACGATGCATTCAATTTTGAAGATTCACGGCGTGCGCCTGGTAGGAGTTTAATGTGCATTCAGGAATGTAATTTGGAAACTTACAGTGGATTCACAATGCATTCATTTTTAAAGATTCAGGGCGTGCGCCCGGCATGCATTATATGTGCATTAAGAATATGATCTGGGAACTCACAGTGAATTCACGATGAATTCATTTTTAAAGATTCACGGCGTGCGCCCTATGTGAATTAAATGTGCATTACAAATGTTATCTGTGAACTCACGGTGAATTCACGATGCATTCAATTTTGAAGATTCACGGCGTGCGCCCGGTGTGAGTTTAATGTGCATTCACGAATGTTATCTGGGGTACCACGTGGTAATGTAAATAATAAATTATTTTAATTGTTTGTAAATGGTTGTTTACTTTTTAATAAATAGAAATATTATTGGTAATAGACGGTATTAATAATTAAATAAAAAAAATAATAATAAATATTAAGATTTTTTTATTTATAAACATTACTAAATAAATAATTTGTTTATACTTAAATATTGATGAAGCGCATTTATTTTACAAAAACTAAATTCATAAGTTCAACAGTAAAATTTAAAGGGTTTATAAATCTACCTGTCTAATTAAACATTATATTGTTATTCTGGAAGTTATAAACTACCAGTACATATTTAATAAACGACGACATTGAAAAGCCAAGTCCGTAGTGGTTCCATTTAAAAAAGGAGGGATAGTATAATCTAATATAAGTTTGACAAAGACAGTTAATATAGAAGTAAAAACAAATAATAAAAGTAATTATAACGCTCTAGCAACGATATTGGAACGTTCTAGTAACGTAGCAGCTACGTCCCAAATAGTAGCAGGGTTTATAGCTAGTGACATATTTGCTACCTTTTTGGAACTCAATAATTGTTCCCCACATTAGTCGTAACGTAGTAATGAAAGAGTAATATAAAGAGACCGGCGACTGCCGCAAAACACTTTGAAGTTTCTTCAATAGTCCCATATACGTAACAAATACTTAAATTGTTGCTTGGGCATGTCCTATACCTAAAGTGAATATTTCTGTTATCAGGTTTGCAAATATAGGGTTGGAATTTTAAAAAAATTAGGCCAACTTGAAAGGTTAATAACTTTTTTATTTCAAATGTAACACTTGGTATGTTTTTACATATTCAAATAGTAAATTAAAAAACATTTCGATTGCTATATTGATATGTTACTAACTTTAGGTATAGGGAATTCCCTATACCTGAAGTTAATAATTTCAGAGATATTTAACAATTTTTTAAATTTACTCATATGTTACTATTCCCTATACCTAAAGTTAATAATTTCAGGGATATTTAACAATTTCTAAAATTTTACATATTATTTTGTATCACGAAACCTGCATAGAAACCATGGTTACCACGTAATTTGTAAAATTTAATCGCATCAATTTTTTGTTGTTATAAACAATTTGGTAACTAATTAAGTTTTTAAAAATTAATAATTCGAAAAATATTTACTTTAGGTTTAGGACATATACATATATGTATAGTAATTTTACTCAGAATTTAAAAATGTTGGGTATTTATTTTAAAATAACAAAGTTGATCTCACTTCCGGTTAAACCGGAAGTGGCTTTTTGTTCAAATTATTTTAGAAAAATAGACTTAAATGGATTATAAACGCTTTTAAAATTTTAAATCGATATCTTTTTTCGTGTCCCAGAAACTTCTAATGGACCACGAATGTGAAACACCCTGTATATATACAACTGTCGATCCGATCGACAATTGTCGATTAAAATTTGTATTAAAAAAAATATTGTTGTTGGCCCTTCTACGCCTTCGTAAAGGAATAACGCCCAAGACTTTTCAATATTTTCGCGTCCAAAATGTTCCCTTTCATAATATTAAAAGAATTGTAGTAGGGTAGATGCACCGTTTGTGGCCATGGCACCTCTTGTGGCCAGCTGAGGAATGATGCATAAATATTTCTTTTTGGTCTAGGAATATCCAATCACATTTCAGTTCTCCCACTTCTTTAATATTATTGGGGCTATAATTGCGGCATTTCTTGAATCTTGTCTTCTGTGAATACAGCTTCTAGTGGGCCATGTTGACATTTTGTGTATAACTTAACATATTTGTTAAGAAACCTAAGGTGAGTTCAAGGCATATTTTGGTCAAATTATATAAAATTGATGGTTGACATAGGTGGTATTTTACTTTTGTAACTCATTCTTAAGTAATTTTAATTGTTTAAATGAGTTTTTTTACCTCTAAACATTTAAATTAACAATGGTCACAAATGGTGCACGAATAAGCTATAGCTATATATATATCTATATCTATAGATGTTCCAAATGTGGCCACTTAGTGGACCACAAATGGAACACGAAATCCAGTTGTGGCCACGTATAAGAAAGAGATAACAATTTTTAGACCAACTGCAATAGAAAAGGATAAAAAGGTGTTCTCTTTTGCAGAAAAAATGACTTCAAGAAAGTCATTTCAATATACAGATACTGCTATGAGAGAAGCTTTAAAAGCAGTTAGGGAAGAAAACATGCCTGTGGCTACTGCTGCCAAGAAATTTAAAGTGCCAAGGACATCTATAAGAAATAGACTAAAGGGCAGAACTGCTGATGAGTGTAGACGAGTCGGACCTGAATGTGAATTGGGACTAGTTACAGAGAAAAAAATTGTTTCTTGGATACTTGATTGTGCTGCTAAAGGTTTTCCTATAAATAGAGAGGGCTTAATTAATATATTCTGTTCAAAAAATAATAGAGGAATGTGGAATAGATACAAGAGTTATGAAAAAAACACCAGGAAGAAAATGGTTTGAGTCGTTTCTGAAACGTAATCCGGAAGTAAGTCAAAAACACGCCGAGTTTATAAACAAAGGAAGGGCAGCAGTTTCCGAAAGTCGCATACGACAATGGTTTAAAGAAACTATAGAACTATTAGGCCCAGACCGTGAAGTATTGAACGATCCAAAACGCATCTTTAATATGGATGAGACTGTAATTTTTTTCTCTCCCAAAGGTACACTGGTTTTAGACCCTAAAGGCCAAAACATTTACGACGTCGGAACGTCTGATAAAGATAATGTGACAACACTGATTGCAGTTAATGCAGAAGGAAAAATTGCACCGTCACTTACAATCTATAAGTTTAAACGCTTACCAAAACTATATGTTCAATCAGCTCCTAAAGACTGGGCTGTTGGGATATCTGATTCAGGATGGATGCAGAGCAAACAGTTTTTCGAATACTTTGCGAATGTTTTCATAAGTTTTTTGAACTCTAATGTGATTCCTAGGCCAGTTATCGTGTTTATGGAAGCTTCCTAGGACACGCTTCCCATTTATCTTTACATCTAAGCAATCTATGCCGTGCAAATGGTATAATTTTAATTTGCCTGCCACCAAACACTACTCATTTGATGTTGCCTTTTTTTATCCCCTAAAGCAAGCCTGGAAAAAAATTACAAAAAAATGGCTGTATGACCATGAAGGTAGAACTATTCAGAAAAAAGATATACCTATTGCACTGAACTCAATCCTTACTCAACAAGATTTCTCACAAACTATAATTTCGGGATTTAGAACATGTGGACTTTATATAGGATATCCTTTTGATAAAAATGCTCCAAAATATAAAAAATGTATTAAAAAGGATTTGCCAAATGTAGAACAAGATACCTTTTCGACAAAGCCTATAAAGAATGACAAAATAGCTAATTTTCAATTTCTGGAGGAACAAATTGGTCCATTCCCAGTCAGCAAGGTTACGTGTTTTTGACGTGAAATATTGGTATTTTTTTACGTCAGTTTCACCTTTTAATTGACGTAATAGAGCCGTAAAGATGACGGTAATATGTCTCAGCTAAAAGACGTCATTAAGGGCCGTCTATTCGACGTTAATTTTGCCGTCATTTCGACGTTAATTTTGCCGTCATTTTGACGTTAATTTTGCCGTCATTTCGACGTTAATTTTGTCGTCTTTCAGGACCAAAATAAGACCACGTATTCACCAAAATATATTCTTTATTAAAAACAAAAAATATTTTCTTTTAATTAACTAAAGTATCTAAAATAAATAAAATAAATAGTATATACTATTTAACAAAATAAATAAATTCTTAAAAACATTGAAACATATAACATATTATGTTTTTACATTTTATTATATTTTAAAACAAAAGTAAAATAACCTAAGTTAATAAGTAGTTTTTATTTTATTAAAAAAACTACAAAAAATATACCAAACTGTATATTTTTGGTAGTTTCTTTTAAATAGAAGTAAACTTTAAATTGCTTCCGATGAAGCAGAACTCTTAAAAACAAATAGTATTTCTTACTTATAACAATAACTGTTTTTTAAACAAGAGAATGTATTAATGGAAAGGCAGCAAGACATCCATCCTCAAATGGAAGTACAATATATTTAAAATAAATTTTTTCTGAAGGCCAGAATTGAAGATTTTTATTAAGGTTGCTAACTTTAAATATTTGCAAATGCTTTGAAGGAAACGGATATTCATACAAGTTGTCACAATTCTGAAATGATTTCCCAATAACACCACTAATATTGTTTTGGTATATTATAATATTATGAACTTCTACAATAGATCCATTTACACAGCAGTAGGCATCTTTACTTGAATAGCTTTTAATGCTTAATATAAAATCTCCCATTAGTAACTTTTTAAATTGAATGCAAGTTTGATTATTAAGAATTGGGCCATTTGTGTGTTCTAATTTATAATCAAGGTCTTGTGATTTATGCGAAAAAAAAGTTTGCGTGGCGAATATTTCCTGGAATCGCCTGTAAATTTGCGGCAATGGTCTATTAGGGGATCTAACCATTTTTTTAATCTCACCCAAAAAGTTTTCAAATGGGAATGCGGAGAAAGCATCTAAAGTTCCGAATTTTTCAACATCGTCTCCTAAATGGGAAATAATATGCACATTATAAACTAAAAATTCCTTACCGTAAATTATTTCACAGTGTTCAACAAAAATTTTTAACAGTTTGGAAGCAAAAGATGTACCGATTTTCGAAATATTATTTTTTGAGACTAAAATTGAAATAGCGACATGAAATAACAAGAAGTGCTCATAAACATTCATGTCTACTACGTTAATTAAAACAATAGGACCAACGTATAACAAAAAGGTCCGGAACTCAGATGCCTTCCAACGCGGTAATTCTGCGATGGCCCTTGGTTTGCGGTTCATTTCTGTTGGAATGCACTGTTTCAAGCCTACTAATCTGTTAGAAAGCTCTTGTACTGAGCGGCTATTAAGTCTGTAATTTAGATTTCCACCTACCCAGGCATTTAAAAGTTTTTTCATCACCCCTAAACATGTGCTGTGCATATATTCTGAAGGAAATTGAGAAACCAAACCCACAGGAATCTTTAATAAAGGCGAAATACCAAGGTGATGGTCCTCATCTTCCTGTGCAACAAACGAAGCGTCAGTTCTTTTGGCCGCGTCAGTTTTGGTAAAAATTATTCTACCATTGAAGTACTCCCCAGGGTTTACGCATTTGTCGCAAGAAGAGTAACCATTGTGAGATTTTACACATTTCAAATATGCTCGAGCTGGCGCATCGCATATGAAACTATGAATGTTAATTTTAAAGAGCTTATTTTTAAATAATAGACCATTTTCAATTAAATTTAAAAGTTCATTTAAAAAATCTTCTAAATATATAGCAAGCGGTTTAGGTTTCGCATTTCCACAAAATACACCAACAGGAAAAGGTTTTATAAAAAATTCTTCGTTTTTAATTAAAGCTAAAATTGGCCAAACTTGCACATTGGAACTATTAAACAGTGGCAGGCCATCTATATTAAATGAAATACTAATGGTTGAGTCTTTAAAGTTAATATTTGATTCTAAAAACATGTAAAGTCCTTTTTGAAGACCAAAGTGAGAATATTGACCCGTTTCCAATTCTTTGCTGTTAAAGTCTAGTGGAGTTCTTAACAATGTTCGGCTATCCAAAGGTAATTCGGGGTGAAATGGTGAGAGCAAGTGCAAAAGTTTTGTAAGTGCAGTTGTAGTAATCTTAAAATCATTAGCCCAATTTTTTAGACTATCTGAGAGGTTGTTCTTCTCAACTGAACTAACTGTCTCCGATTCACCCTCACAATCCTTGGAGCACCCTAGATTACTGTGACAATTTTGAACAGACTCAACATTTAATAAATTTAAAAACTGGCTATCACATGCATTACTGGGAACATCATCAGCATTATGACAACTAGATAAACCTAAATCTTCAGTACTAGATATATTACAGGAAGTATCGTTAATATTCTCTAAAATAGGCATGGCTGCTTCGAAAAGCTTTAAATTATTATGGGTTAAGTTACCTTTAAAAGCAATATCATCACAACATTGAGACTGAAAATCACCAACTGCCTTTGTTACCCTCCTTTGCATTTGTCTGCGACCTATACATTTAGCAGGAACGAATTGCTGTCTTTCCATTTTTAATAAAAATGAATCTGAAATTCTAAAAAAAATCTTGCGTCGAATATTTCTTAATTAATTCTACGCCTTTTGTTTTCGTTTTGAACTCGCTGTGGAGCATGTTTTAACCACACCTTAATTTGTGTACATATGTCCTTTTCTGTAACACCTGGAGATGTTATTTGTATTGCACCTACAAGTAAAAATAATTATAATCTTTATTGCTTGAAATTCATAAAATTCATACTTACGAATTACAAGCACCTTTAATTTTAAATCGTAAAAAGCACGTTTATTGGAACGACTTCCAAAAAAACTATAGTTTACAGCCACTTCATTGCACATCAATTTCTTTAATATACTGTTTACCCGGCCAGTAAGGTCTCGTCCGCCAACTGTGGACAAGTATTTGCACTGAAAAAATTTAAATAAAAGTCATTTTTAGTATCAGTTGGCAGTTAAAAATCAATTATTTTTTATGCTAGCAACCTTTATTTAGTAACCTAGTGCAATAGACCCATTTCATTTATTTACTGATTATGTGCTAACTGAAATAGACAAAAACAAAAAAGCAACAAGCAGAAAATCTGTTGCTTATAATTAACAAATAAATGAAACAGATCTATTACTGCTCATATGATTAGGTCAAAACATTAGTTTTCTTTTAGAAGTTGATTTACTGCTAAACGTATAAAAAAATAATGACTTACAATAGCCAATAAATTTTCATTGTAATTCAGATAATTTTCGAAAATGACAATATCATCCAACGTAGTAATAGGAAATGAAACGGGAACATCTTCCGGTAACTGATTGGGAATCACATTTGAAGCGCTATTTTGTTTTCTAATCCAGTTTAAAATTTCGCTAGTCTGTTCCTTGACTGACATCAACACCTTAAGTACATGATTGTTCTGAACATCTAAAATTGAATTAAATAGTCTGCATATTCCTACATTTTGTAAAACAAAATGTTAACCTACCAGGTAATGCACCCTGACTTCCGGATGTATGTACTGTGGGACAAGATGAAGGACCTGCAACTTCCTGGGAAGCTAATAATGATTCCCTTTGACTAAAAAGTTTACTTATAAGAGTATCCCTTAAAGCTAATGATTCTCTAGGATGTGCTTGAGTGCTAGGTTCACTTTGGGCACTAAGAAAGTTTTCATAGTTAATATGAGGAGGAGCCTTATTCTTAGTTCCTACTCTTGGGGATTCTTCAGAATCATCATCACTAAAAGAAAGACGCCTTGGAAACCTTTTTCGTTTTCCAATTTCTGCTTGAGTATCTTGGGTATCTGTGTCAAGGTCTGAAGTAATCTTTGCCTGTTTAATTTTTTTTTCTGCCTCGGTATAATTTACTGAAAGTAAAAATTTATTAAATATTAATTTTAAATTTATTATTAAAAAGCTCAAAATCCAGCTGCATTTAATTTCTTTTAGGATAAACAACTTTTGTAATAATAAATTTACAAATTGGGCCCCAACAAAACAGTCCTCCATATCCTTTGAGTAATACATTTTAAATTAATTTTTGCTTTTTAATTTTTTTAAATTGTTTAATACTGTAATAGTATATTACAATACGAGATGGAAAATGTTTCATCACTAGTCGAGAGATTAGGTATCGAGACGCGTGGCGTCGAGATAAACTAAATCTCGAGACAGTAGTGAAATTTCCGTCAAGTATTGTATATTTTATTTTCAACCATGTTTCTGTAGCGAAAAACTTAAAATAAATAAATAAAAACAGGTGATATTTATTAATTTTAGGTCTATAGGCATCCAGGAATACGCTTTATGCAAACTGGGTTGCATTCAAATGACATTTTTATTAATTTTATTTAAACATATTGTGTTTTGTGCACATAGAACAAGGTTTTGTAAATAGATTTTTAGTGCCTTTATGTTCAGAAAGATTTGCATGCCTAGGCATGCAAGTGACACTTTCTCGATTTTAAAAAGACAACAATGTCAATATTACATATATGCTCGAAAATAATAGTATATTATTATACAAGAGATAAAGCAGGCTATTATTTACGAGGATTGGGTTTACGTCTCGAGTCGCCAGACGAGAGACCTAAATCATTCGAGTGAGTATAGCGCATAATCTCGAGTGTAATACTATACTACTCCAATATAAAGATAATTAAATGATTTTTAAAATTAAAATAATAAAATCTGACATCTGTCAAATGGTTAACCTTACTTTTTGCCAATTTTAAATGTTATTATAGTCGCCTTCCTCCAATTTAAAACCCGATTGGTTCAAATCACAGTGAATATTGAAATCGGCCAATCACTGATGCCTAACAACGTGAATATTGAGTTTATTATTCACGTTGTCAGGCATGAAATTTATAATGTTTAACAATATTTACGAAAAAACATTTCTTTTTTACAATAAAAAATATGAATTTTGTTTAAAAACTCATTAAGTTTCCCCATTTACAAAACCGTCAGGTTTTACTGTTGAACCCTGGTATTATTAAAGTAGAAACACTCTCTCTCTCTTTTGGTTTTTTAAATTCTTATTTCAGGGAATTTTAAAAATTTAGTAATTTTCGAATTGTAGAAAATTATGTAATTTTGAAGATTTAAAAAATTCGATAAATTTAAAAACTTTTCCCAAATTTCTTTTCCTTCTGTACAAATTTTCCTGACATGTTTTAATTTTAAATTGCAAATTTTGCCCATTTTTTAAATTTAAGTGGAAAAATTTTATCCTACCATTTTTTTGAAATTTAGAAAGATGTTTTTGTCAACAATTTTAACGTCTATTTTGTTTCCAATGAAAAAACAAAAGTATCATTTGCAATGCACAAGTTTACATCAAAAAAATTAATTATAGTTTCGGTTAAAATGAAAAATTTCCTTATAAAAACAATATGAAGAGTTAAAAATATGTTTTTCCTAATTTGTTAATAAACTAATTTACAACCTGCATTCTAATTGGTTCTATTTTGTCATTTGATTATGTTTATTGTTACTAGTATTATTTAGTTTTCATACCATTCTCAAAAAAAAATCTTTTTATGGAATACAATTTCCACTCTCCCTCCTCTGGGCTGTCTCCTCTTGTTAATGCCCTATGAAATTGTTTGTTGGTCTTGAAGGGCGGCCAAAAGATCTCTTTCTTTCTTGGCGTTAGCCATTTAATATTTATGATTTCTATACCACCCCCGTCATTCTCCTCAAACTCGATTCCAGCAAAATTCATCACTGTCTTGTTCCCTACAATTATGTGTTCTCTTAGTGAAAGAAACACACAAGTACCTTAAGGATAATTATCTCGTAATAAACAACTAATATTCATATATTATAGAATTGAATTAACCTTCTCTTTAGTTTGCAAAAAAACACATTTAGCCATATGCATTTAAGAATTAAAACAAATTATAAATAACAATGAGCAATAAACAAAGAATTAGGGGGTTTATTCAAAACTTTAATTAAATTAACATAACCTAAAATTCGCTGGCCGCTTTAACCCAATAAGCAAAAAAAATAAACAAAACATCTTACCTTACAATTGAAATGTTCAGAACAGCGATTAATTTTTCAGAGCAGCAATTAATTTTTATAAACTCCTTTTTATAACCGCCAAACCCTAAACAAAAGGCGCCAAACTTGCTTGTTTCTTTGGACAATGGAAAAGAACGTTTCAAGCGTCACCCGCCAGAGGGTTCTATCGGCAGTCAAAGCGCGCGATATAAATTTAAGGGTCAGCAATTTGAAACTTATTTAATTAATTAAATAATATTATAATATAACGATTAATCTTCATAATATTATTTTATGGGCAGGAAGACGAAAGTCGTTAGCCATTTGGATTTTCCATTAAAGTTTATTATTATTATTATTATTATTATTATTTAACTTAAAAATTTCAAGGTTTATAAAATTTATTTTATCAGCATCTTATAATTCTTATATAAATCTTTACAGCATGGTAAATTTCACAACATTCTACCTAAATTAAAAGTTTTCTATAAATACTTGCATCGTGTAAAGCGGTTTTAAAAAAATACTTAGCAAGTCCAATGTTTACTTGGGTACCTACAAAAAATTATTACCAATTAGTCCCTATAGGGGGTATAATGGGTAGGTACTTACCTAATAAAAACACCTTAATTATTTATTCAAATAAAAACACTTAAGGGAAAATTCACTTTTTGTTTGACCGACGTATAAGAGACGTGAAAAATACGGCTGATAATAACGTCGAAATTAAGTCTATTATTGACGTTTAAATGTCGTCAATATTTGGTCAGTCGACGTCGAAAACCAAAAATGACCAAAAATTCACGTCAAATTAACGTCACTCTGCTGCCTGGGTTTGTATTGCAAGATTTTAAGAATTCCTACGTCAATAATTTTTCTATTTGGCAAGGGGAAGACCGATTTTTAGAACTTTATAATTTATGGAGATTTAAGAAGATGTGAATCCTGAAAAAAACTTGAATGAGCCGCTGGATGCTGAAACAATGATAAATGCTGAACCTACGTATTTTTAATTTCCCAGAATTTTCTTTCGATGACGTTGACGAGCAGATAGGTATCGTGGAGCAGATAGACATAGAGAACCGAGGAACAGAAGGATGCCGAGGAAGAGCAGGACATCGAAGAACAGAAGGAAATCAAAGAACAGAAAGGCATCGAAAAACGCACAGGCACGGGAAAACAAAAAGGCACTGAGGAACAGATATACATCAGGAAACATACAAGCATCAAGGAAAATATAAGCATCGAGGATCAGACAGGCATAGAAGAACAGACAACCATCGAAAAGCAAACAGGCATGGAAGAAAAGGTATATACCTCAAAGAAAATACAGACATAGACATAAAGATCCACGAAAAATCAAACATCGAGATAGAGATCATAGAAAATAAAATAAAACCATTGAACGAAAATAAAATTAATATTATCCAAAACATTACTCTTAAGCCAGGTTCGCGACCCAGTAGTGAAGTCATTACTACCACTAGAGAAACCGATAAAGAAACTAGGTTATTAAAAAAAGAACAGTTAGTGAATTTCTTAAAGAAGTTAAAACATGGCCTGACGAAAATACGACCCCTGAAAACGCAAAAAAGAAAAGGATTACCCTTCCATCTGTGGTAACCTCAAACAAATGGATTGAAATTCTAGAAGCCAAAGAAGCGAACAACGGTAAAGAAAAGACTGCTGTTAAAAGAAAGACTGCTCAACAAAAAAATTTTAAAAGGAAACTAAAGAAAGTATTGTCAAGAAGACTACTAAAGAATATATTTCAGAAGAAAATAATCCTAATGATAATAGCTTTGAAGGAAATCATTGTGAGCAAGATTATGATAAAAGTACCAAAGATGTTAACAGAAACCAAAAATTAAAGAATGACTTAGTTTTAGGTGTAAATTCATTTGTTATTCTCAAATATGACAACAATTTTTATCCCGCTAAAATTGTTAACGAGGATAATAATGGTGAACATTACTGCTGTGCAATGCAAAAAAGTGGAAAAAAATTATTGGAAATGGCCTGATTCACCTGACCTTCTTTGAAAAACGAAGCTAGTTTTATGTCCATTTATATCTGTTTTTATCCGACATATCTGATTTTACCCGGCATGTCGGTTTTTATCTGCAATTGCGGGTATAAATATCATTCGCGAACGTCGGGTTTTATCTATTTAGATCTATGTCTGCTTTTATCTGTTTTCATCCGCAAATACCTGTGTTTGAGTTTATATCTGCATTCACCCGGTTTTATCTGATTTTATCTGCAAACACCTACTTTAATCCGCAAACGTCTGCTTTATCCGATTTCACCTGCAAACATCTGATTTTATACGTGAAGATCTACTTTCATCCGCGAACATCTATTTTAATCCAAAAACATCTGTTTTAATCCGCAAACATCTCATTTAGTCTGCAAAAGTCTGATTCATAAGATTTCATCCGAAAACATCTGCTTTTATCCGCAAACATCTGCTTTTATACGCAAACATCTGATTTTATACGCAAACATCTGATTTTATACGCAAACATCTGATTTTATCCGCAAACATCTGCTTTTATCCGCAAACCAGATTTTATTCGCAAACATCTGATTTTATCCGCAAACATCTGCTTTTATCCGCAAACATCTGTTTTAATCTCCAAACATCTGCTTTTATCCGCAAACATCTGATTTTATACGCAAACATCTGATTTTATCCGCAAACATCTGCTTTTATCCGCAAACCTGATTTTATTCGCAAACATCTGATTTTATCCGCAAACATCTGCTTTTATCCGCAAACATCTGTTTTAATCTCCAAACATCTGCTTTTATCCGCAAACATCTGATTTTATACGCAAACATCTGATTTTATCCGCAAACATCTGCTTTTATCCGCAAACATCTGATTTTATCCACAAACATCTGTTTTATTTCGCAAACATCTGATTTTATACGCAAACATCTGATTTTATACGCAAACATCTATTTTAATCTGCAAATGTCTGCTTTTATCCGCAAACATCTGATTTTATCCGCAAACATCTGATGTTATCCGCAAACATCTGATTTTAATCGCAAACATCTGTTTTAATCCGCAAACATCTGATTTTATACGCAAACATCTGATTTTATCTGCAAACATCTGATGTTATCCGCAAACATCTGCATTTATCCGTAAACATCTGGATTTTATCCGCAAACATCTGATTTTATCCGAAAACATCTGATTTTATCCGCAAACATCTGATGTTATCCGCAAACATCTGCTTTTAATTGCAAATCTCTGCTTTCATCCGCGTTCGGTTTGCCTGAATTTCCTTTGTCCATTTCGGTCCTGTTTCGTACGCAAACGTCTGGTTTCATTCGCGCTTTTTGTTTTCCTTTTTCTCGTGTATACTTTAGTTTAGTTTACTTATCCGCTTTGTCAAATTTTACTGAGCTTTTCGCGAACATCTGCAAGCATCTGCTTTTAACTGCAAACCTCTGCTTTCATCCGCGTTCGGTTTGTCTGCATTTCCTTTGTCCATTTACATAGGTCCTGTTTCGTACGCAAACGTCTGGTTTCATTCGCGCTTTTTGTTTTCCTTTTTATTGTGTATACTTTAGTTTAGTGTAACTGCTTTGTAAAATTTTACTGAGCTTTAACTAACTGGCACACAACCAGAGCTGCAACAAGTCAGTTTTAAAAAGACTTAAATCTTAAGTCTTAAGTCAATTCTAAAATCAAAATGATTTAAATCTTAAGTCAATTCTAAGATAAAGTTCAAATGATTTAAGTATTAAGTCTTTGAATTAAATCATTTTCTTTCAAGTCAAGTCATTTTCGCAAATTCTTAAATCAATATAAAGTGATTTAAGTCATCTTATGACTTAATTCCTTTAGTAAGTCGTTTTTATGAATTAAGTGTATATTTTTTATTTAAATCGTGATCTAAGAGTTAAGTCAATAAAATGACTTGAATCAAAAATTGTGATTTAAATCAAAATAATTACAATACAACACATTTTTGAGTATATATTAGACAATAAAAATAAAAACTTAAACCACATTTTTTAGTAGAGTAGACATACAGGGAGGCTACTTTTTTATATACATAAATGGGTAACTTCTAAACGGTAATAGATTTAAACTCTGTTAAAATAGATAAAAGTTTAAGCATTTTTCTTAAAATCGCTGTAAGTATTTCAAAAACTGATAACTTGTTGTTTTGTTAACTTTTGTTAGCTGGTTCAACATCCATCTAGAAAAAAAATATTCCTCCCTTAAGGAAGTAATGATGGGAAGTTCCAAACTCTCGATTCACGACCGCTCAGATTGTTTTCACTTTGCACTAATAATCACAAATTAGACATAACTACACTCAGAGAAATATCATGTCATGAAAAGCATATGAAATTATATTAATTTAAATAATCGGGTAAATTTGATTCAAATAGAAAAAAATGTAGTTTTATATTCATTTACCAACAGTTTTACAATGTTTTTAAACACTTTTAAAGTGTACTCTCTTTAAAATATATATACAAAAAGAAATTATTTATTTCATTGCCTTTCTCAATGTTGTTTCAAAAAGATATGTATTATACAATTGTTATACACCTATTAATTTAATGGGACACACCAATGACGCCAAAACATATTTGAATCCCTTTGAATTATTATCGTTTTCAATGATTCTACAACATTTTTTTTCTCAGTGTACGCACGAACATGACGAATGTTGGCAAACAAAATAACAAAATTATAAATCCCCACTTTTTTTAATTCATTTTAGACAGGACATTTCTTAATGTAGCCGTCAAACGGTTTCAAAAAGCTAACTTTACCGCGGCGGTTTTTTTATCCTCTAGCGGTAAAAATTGTAGGTAGGAAATTAAAGGAGTTTTTGATCTGCTGCCGCGTGAAACCCTGGCAGTTCAAAAGAAAATGCCGCTGTTAAAAATTTATAAAAAATATATGAAAAATCTGACTTAAATATTTTCTAAAAAGACTTAAATCTTTTTCAAAAAGACTTAAATCTTTTTCAAAAAGACTTAAATCTTTTTCAAAAAGACTTAAATCTTTTTTTGACTTAAATCGTTTCTATCTGACTTAAATCGTATGTACTGATTTATAAATGACTTAAGTTTTTTCTATTTTGAAAAAAATATTTAAGTCACAAATCATTTTGAAAATTACTTAAATTTTAAGTCTTAAGTCAGTTTTAGAGAAATGACTTATTACCAAATGACTTAAGTCATTAAAACGATTTAAATCAAAAAAACGATTTAAGTTTTCTGAGAGCTTGCAGCTCTGCACACAACTTTATAACTCTAAAAGGAATTATTTGAATAAAAACAACCTGTAAAAATAAGTTTATTGAACTTCAATATTATTTGGTAAAATACAAATAAGGTCTTTGTTAAAGGACAAATAGATATTTTTTAATCATTAAGCTTACATTTAAATTAATTGTTAGAAAACATATATGTTTAATTTCAAATACATTTGGAATTATAACATCTTCAATTTGTATGGAATTTGTTTGAAAAACACTTATTTAGGCGTAGAATTTTTCATCTAACTTTAAAAACTTTTTAATTTTGGCATAACCAGTATTTTTAATATATATGTAAGAATTAATAGACTTATTATTTCTGTGGTACTCTTCACTATAGTATACCTGATTTTTAAATTTAAATCTGGTGAATATAATTAAATTATTTTCCCATTGGGAAAATGTCGTGTTGAATAAACTTATTTCCTTTACAGGTTGTTTTTATTCAAATAATTCTTTTTAGAGTTATAAAGTTGTGTGCCGTGAACGGCTAACAACCAGTTAGTTAAAGCTCAGTAAAATTTGACAGGTAAACTTAACTAAAGTATACACGAGAAAAAAGAAAACAAAAAGCGCGAATGAAACCAGACGTTTGCGTACGAAACAGGACCGAAATGTACAAAGGAAATACAGGCAAACCGAACGCGGATGAAAGCAGAGATTTGCAATTAAAAGCAGATGTTTGGAGGTGTTTGCGGATAAAAGCAGATATTTGCGGATAAATGCAGGTGTTTGCGGATAAAATCAGATGTTTGCGGATAAAAGCAGATGTTTGCGTATAAAATCAGATGTTTGCGGATAAAAGCAGATGTTTGCAGATTAAAATAGATGTTTGCGGATAAAATCAGATGTTTGCGGATAAAAGCAGATGTTTGCGGATAAAATCAGATGTTTGGAGATTAAAACAGATGTTTGCGGATAAAAGCAGATGTTTGCGGATAAAATCAGATGTTTGCAAATAAAATCAGTTGTTTGTGGATAAAATCAGATGTTTTCAGATAAAATCAGACGTTTGCGGATAAAGGCAGATGTTTGCGGGGGTGCACTAACCGGATGAAATAAGGCGTTCGCAGATAAAAGCATGTTTACGGGTGAAACCGTATGAAAGCAATGTTTGCGGATAAAATGAGATGTTTGCGGATAAAAGCAAATGTTTGGGGATGAAAGCAGATGTTTGCGGATAAAAGCAGATGTTCGCGGATAAAATGAGATGTTTGCGGAAAAAACAGATGTTCGCGGATAAAAGCAGATTTTTGCGGATAAAATCAGGTGTTTGCAGATAAAAGCAAATGTTTGGGGATGAAAGCAGATGTTTGCGGATAA